CATTAACAAATACAAATACATCATTTTAATTTTCAACGAGGGTGGCATGATGGTTGGCTGTTTAGCACGTCTGCCTCATAGTGCTGAGGTGCAGGGTTCAATTCCAGGCCCTGGCCTTCCTGTGTGGAGTGAACATCTCCCCATGTCTGCGTGGGTTTTCTCTGGGTACTCCGGATTCCTCGCACATTCCCAAACATGCATGGTCGTTTTTTATTTTTATTTTTTTGTCCCTTGGTGTGATTGTCAGTGCTAATGTTTTTTTGTCTATGGTAACAATCTTGGTTGGCAACAAGTTCAGGGTGTACCCCGCCTGGGATCCAGCACGCCCGCAACCCTCGTGAGGATAAGTGGCTCAGATACAGGATAAATGCAATGAATCTTCTTGATGAACTGTCATACTACTGAATGTTGAAATAAAAGAGGCAAAAAAAAAAAAAAAAAGCTCGATCATTGAATAAAATCCACAAAAAAAGTCTTGTATAAGTGGATTAATGTCTTTCTAGTGAAGAAGCTGCTCTTATTTACAGCAACTTGCCAACAAAAAAAGATAACAGATTAAAATTTAAAACAATGCTCAGTGAGCATTACGACAAACGATAATACCAAATACCCTTTTTTGGCCGATTGGTATACTGCTGGCTTTATGTGGGTGGAGGGGCAAATATGTAGACCCCAGAGAACTGTGTGAACGTCCAAATTACCAAAACGATCCAGTGCACAGGGAAGAAAATAAAAGGACTATAGAAAAAATGGGAGAAAGAGAGGTCAAGTCACTCGCATGATTTGTTTGACACTAACCAAACAGCCATGAAATGAAGAAATAAATGAATGAAGAAAATGTTCAATTCGTTTATTATTGTGTGATGTTGTCTTATTAAAGACAAAGTAAGAAATTCTGCTTCTCTTGTAAGCGTATGTAAATCATTGATGGAGGGGGTGGAAATAAAATCTCGCCTTGAGCTCCACATTGGCCAGGGCCAGCCCTGCCTACACACAAGAAAACATACATGATGACTTCCTCCTGCACCCCCACTTTTGGATACTTTTTATATCAACCTTTTTCCCAGAATTTCTCTCTCCAGTCAACTTTGATACATTATTTGTGCATCTATTTGTGCGCGTGACCTCTGCATAGGCAGGTAAATTTCGGCAACTGCAGGAGTGTCATACCTCAACACTGCCAAGCTTGTTAAGGCATCTTGTTTCACGAAGTCAGATGTGTGTTTGAAGTGTTTAAAGTCAATATTTCCTGGGTGACACGCAGGCTTGTTTCACAGTGGAGTGCTGTGTGCTGCACAAGGCTGCCATTGAAGTTCTTTCTGTCAGGGGGTGTGGGGACACGGGGCAGGCTAACCAATGCGGGCCTCCTTTGCTGCTGGTTGTGGATTCGTATAGCTCTCTGGAGATGAATAAACCAAAATTATGCTCATTAATACAGGCTGCAAATGTTGAAAGGTGTCTGCAGCCATGTCTGACAAATTATAGTGCTTTTGATTTCACTCCTCGCCTTCAGCAGAAGATTTCAAGGTAAGTTTATATCCAAACAAAGCAAGTGGAGCCACATCTGATCAACACATTGCACACTAAGAAGCCAAGGGTGTGTATGTATAAATTCCCGATACAAACCAAAAGTATAAAAATATCACGGTTAAGGGTAAAGCATGAGCCTTAATGGAGACTTCTTTCTTCTTACTTTGTTTCTTTTCTGATTGATATAAAAATGATTCAATAGATATAAACATACAACACGGGGTAGGACTAGATAAGTTCTTTACTTCTTCCTACTCCCTTGAACATAATAACTGTGTTGAATGATGACTGATTTCTCTTTCCTCTTTACTGTTTTATTTACCTTATTTTCTGTCAAATTATTACTGTATATGTTTTATGTTCAATAAACAAACAAACAAACAAACAAACAAACAAACAAACAAAAAATGGGAGAAAGAGAGGTCAAGCCACTCGCATGATTTGTTTGACACTAACCAAACAGCCATGAAATGAAGAAATAAATGAATGAAGAAAATGTTCAATTCGTTTATTATTGTGTGATGTTGTCTTATTAAAGACAAAGTAAGAAATTCTGCTTCTCTTGTAAGCGTATGTAAATCATTGATGGAGGGGGTGGAAATAAAATCTCGCCTTGAGCTCCACATTGGCCAGGGCCAGCCCTGCCTACACACAAGAAAACATACATGATGACTTCCTCCTGCACCCCCACTTTTGGATACTTTTTATATCAACCTTTTTCCCAGAATTTCTCTCTCCAGTCAACTTTGATACATTATTTGTGCATCTATTTGTGCGCGTGACCTCTGCATAGGCAGGTAAATTTCGGCAACTGCAGGAGTGTCATACCTCAACACTGCCAAGCTTGTTAAGGCATCTTGTTTCACGAAGTCAGATGTGTGTTTGAAGTGTTTAAAGTCAATATTTCCTGGGTGACACGCAGGCTTGTTTCACAGTGGAGTGCTGTGTGCTGCACAAGGCTGCCATTGAAGTTCTTTCTGTCAGGGGGTGTGGGGACACGGGGCAGGCTAACCAATGCGGGCCTCCTTTGCTGCTGGTTGTGGATTCGTATAGCTCTCTGGAGATGAATAAACCAAAATTATGCTCATTAATACAGGCTGCAAATGTTGAAAGGTGTCTGCAGCCATGTCTGACAAATTATAGTGCTTTTGATTTCACTCCTCGCCTTCAGCAGAAGATTTCAAGGTAAGTTTATATCCAAACAAAGCAAGTGGAGCCACATCTGATCAACACATTGCACACTAAGCAGCCACAATATTCGGCATGCCACCACAGTCTAATAGCAGTCAATATAGAGCTATAGCCATGACTATTCCTTTCAAAGCACGCCCCATTTTCAATATCCAGGCAAATATTAACTTAGCAATAGGTTTTGTTAACTTGAAACGACAACAGTAATTGCTAAATTTATAACTCTGCTTGCGTCAGTATAAACAGACCATTGTCATCTTTACAAAGAAAAGCTGTGGCACAAGAATCACCATGGTTTTTTTTTTTTTTTTTCCCAACTAGCTTATTTGTGTGCACAGTGAAAATAAACATACTCTAATTGCGTGACTCTTTACTGAACCTTGTAGCCTTGGTGGACATAGTGCCTGAGTGTTTTGCATGGCTGCCTCACAGCTCTGAGGTTCGTGCTTCTAATCAAGGCTCCAACACCCTTGTGTTGACTTTGCATGTTCTCCCTGTGCTTGTCCCCATGAGGCCGTCTGTCATAGTTGCGTTTCAGTCTTCCCACCCCGTTCGATCGCCCCATGTGGGTTTTTTCAGTTTCCTCCCACATTCCAAAAGCATGCATGCAACATGTGAATGCGAGTGTGAATGCTTGTTTGTCTATATGGGATGGCGACTGGTCCAGGGTGTACCCCACGTCTCTCATGGTATTTCCTTCATTAAAGATGACATCATTGTGGGACAATCCCTCTGAATCATTATAGAAATCAATTAATTGAACGAAATATATTCATTATCATCTTAAATAGATTTGAATACCCCCCTCCCCAACAGTCACATGATCGGGGGTGCAAGACGGTCTCCAACTGCTGATGTCACATGCACAGTCGACCACATCATCTGCGAGGTGAGACTTTGCAGTTTATCCACCAATGTCATGCCCAGAACCTAGCAAGTCTATATCTGTTTTCACAATGTCAAGCAAATTGTACTCGGATGTACAACGTCTCCGACCGCTCCGGTGCAAATGAGGGATGCCACTAGGATTGGGTGGGAAAAGACTATTTTCATCCCACAACGGCGCACAAAGGTGCAAAGTCCTCATTCCAGTCAGTTCTACCAGTGCAAAGTCCAGCAAAATACCCCCAAAAATTTTAAAAAATTAAAAAATACACCCATGTGCATTGTTCGACTGCGCTCTCGCGCTTTGCACGAGACTTGTACTAGGATCAACGCGCAAGAGCCCATCGTGCGCATTTTTCCCTCCTCGCAATTAAGACCTTAGAATAGATGCATAAGTGACTGACTCCACACTTTTCCATAAGTGGGTCAAAAATGAGCCGTATCAAAATCAATATGTTTGATTATGTATAAGAATAATCATTTGCATTTTATTATTATGTTTTCACTTGCACCAGCAGAATTGGTCGTGTCATGTACGGAGAAACTGTGCATGTTAGCCGTTGTCATGTAAATTTTCACACATGGCAAAAGTTTTTTTTTTTTTCCAGTAATTACAAAATCTACACTGTGTATCATTTACGGTACATGTCCCTTTGTTGCAATATTCTTTTTAAGTAAATGAGACGTTTTTGAGTTGCTTCCTTTAGGTCAGATTGGATTTCTTTATCTGAGCCAATGTTTATCTATGCAATGGGCCCCAGTCCCCTGACTCAAAAAAGACTTTATAGTTTTGTATAGTCTGACCTAAGCTCATTTTGTATCCGAATGATTTACTCATCTGTGTCTGTTTGTCATCTTGAGGTGGAAAAAAAAATGTAACCAAGTGACTGCAGCAGAGACGCCAATGTTACCACAATTCCATCTTCATCAGACAACATGCAGCTCTACTGCATATAATTTGTATTTTGCTAAATTGTGGGTGGATTTATTTCTTAGTTCCATGAGTTCCTTGTGCTGGATTTTGCAGCAAATGCTGATTGCTTATTTGGTTCCTCTGATCCTAATACGTTTGCTTGAACAGCGCATTTCAATAACGGTATATATCTGGTTGAAGACAATGCCTATTCCTTTAAAAAAGAATAATAATTGAGTTGGAGACATGACCAGAGTTTGAAGTACAGTATTTGGTCTCAAAATGGAATTAGTATTTGGAGGAGTAGTATAAAAAGTGTGAACCTGTAAAGCCATAAGTAGGCTGAAAACCCAATTGTAGACTTGAAAAATAACCTCAGCACCGCACCCCACCCCACCCCCTTCAGGAACAGTCTAGTGTGCATAAGTAGGATAGCTTCACCACCCGCACTCCCGCAGCCCCGCTATCACACTCCGCTTTACTCCTCCCTCAGGCCGGTCAGCGTGCCAGTGCGTAACAACTTGTCTCTCGCTTGTTTCTCATCTCTGTCCTCAACATGTGACGCGGGATCCAAGCTCGCCGTTTGCCTGCAGCGTTACTTTGGTGATGGTGAACAAGTAGGTTCCTAAGTATGTTCTTTGCATATTTGCAAAATGCCCGTGTATCTCGGTGCATGTGCGCTTGGGGCCATGCATGACGTTTGCTGTTTGCGCCAGTTTGCCCGCCTACTCTGTGCAGGCTCATTTTGCACCTCACTCTAGCACATACTTGACTTGAATGACAAGATGTTAATTAGGCATTTGTTGATGTCCTCATCTGTTGTGTGTCCTTTTGCAAGGTCTCTTGCTCCCAATGAGACATTTTAGGTGATCCACGGGCATCCTTTTGAGTTGGTATAGCCACTGGATAACTTGTATTCCTGATTCAAACCAGCAGAATGAAACGACCATTGACCCTACATGCGTGCCCTGTCGCTAGTCAGCACGACAGAAGTGGGGCCGGTGTGATAAGTGGGAGATAAGAGGATGGGCGAATACGTGTCCAGTGCAGCTGTGCCTCTTTAGGATTCCTGCTCCCGACATCCTCTCACCATTGCCAAACCGTTATCATTAGATTTGGCAATCGACCGAACGCCCGTTGTGGTGCGGCCATGGCCCGTTAGTGTTTCCTTTTAAGTGTAGCGAAACTAAGTCCATTCACTTGTAAAAGAGTGCGCCCATTGGCAGATAGTTGGCAGGTTGCACAGAGAGGCCATTCACCTCGGTAGGAAGGAGCTGAGAACTGCCTCGGAAACGCTCACCCCTCTTGAATATTTTAATGGGGAGACTTTGGATGCCTTCTGAGGTCCGAACATGCTCCTATGCGCATGACGTGACTCCACTGCTCTCCAACTATGTCATGTCATGCAGAGGATATCACATGGAGGCTACCAATGTTGCAATGAGGACTTTTGTTTTGTTTTGCTGGAAAGACAGAGCAGCGATTTTGGAATCCCAGGATCCCAGGAGGCAGGTGGCTGAGTGCAGAGAGAGGGATTGTGCCTCTTGATGATGCTGGGATGGAGTCCAAGTACTCTGGTTCAGACAAGGCTCATATATACAAAGTCAGACCCAAGGCAGCTCTTTTTTCTTTGGGATGCCATGCGGAACTAATTAAACCCCTTTTGAATGAGGACATTACGACTTGTGATCAATATCCCTGTTATAAATAATGCCAGTAAAGAGGCCTTGACTGGATTTTAATGAAGCTCTCTTCATGTGTGCATTCAGTGTCTCAGCATGTCCGTTTGCTTGGAGCCTAGCGCAAGAAGCCGTTTCGGTGAAATATTACACACTCTGGCAGAAAAGGAAACTATTTAAGTTGGGTGACCCGCAGACTTTCTTCCATTTTACTCTGGAAAGTTCTTTGTTACAGCTGCAGCTGTTGTAAAAGCACTATCTAAATAATGATGTATTGTATTGTATATCATTACTTTATCAAATCCATCCATTCAAATGTGAGGGGCAAACACAGAGTGTTCAAGACTCGACGGCTTCAGGATGTCTGGAGTCGAACCTTGTGCAGCACGGCAACAGTGAAACACTCAAACGCACTGTTGGGTCTGCTGAAAAAGGTTTTTATTGATCAGGAATTGGCAACTGGCCGCAATATTAGTGGCCCAATGATGAATGAAAAACCTATTTATTTATTATCTATTTATTTGTTTATTTATTTCATTTATTTGGGGGAGTATTTAACCATGTTTCCTCTACCACAGTGGACCCCCAAACGCTCGCAGTTTGGCAGCATTTGCAGATTTGTTTCCATTTTTTTTCTTATATTTTCTTTTTTTACTTGGTTTTAGTTTTGTGGGGGCAGGAGTAAACCCCCGCTTTTTTGTTTTTTGTGTGTGAAAAGTGTATATTGGATTATTTTCCCCAATGCATTTCAATGGGCAGCAATTATATGCAGATTTTCACGATTCGCATGCCAACCCGCTCTCTATCACCCGCGAATAACGGGGTTCTTATAGTGTTAAGTTGTTATTTCACTATGACCACAAGATGAAAGATATGGCTTAGTTGTGCTTGCACCGGTTCTTATACTGCCCTATTCTACAACTTGAGTCAGCCTAATACAGTTTTTGCAGATTTGGAATGACATGCAGGACAAACATAAGACCTCAATAATGTTAACATTTGGAGTGAATTGATTTTGGTGAAGAAAAAAAAAATGAACAAAAGGAGTTCTTGTATTTAATGTTGCTTTGCTGTTCAGCAGTTTTGTGCCATCGTTGAATAGTAATTTTCATGGAAGATACACCTTTGCGTTGGGAAACCAATAATCACATTATGTGGTTATTTTAAGGTTTGCTTCAGAACCCTTTGCTGTTTTATACTGGATCTTTCATATATGCATTGAGAAATGTATGAGGAAAAATGAAATGTATTTAGAGGACATAGTTTGCACATATGGATGTATTTTGGCCATATTTAAAATGGTGTTTTTGTCATCTGGTTAGGAAGTTTGTGGTCCTACGTGGCCACCCAGTAGCAGTGATGAATCATTTAAATTGCTTATCCCCGTCAACATCTTTAGTGTTGGAGCCTTCTGTACTGTGTAGCTCTGACAGCTCTACAAACTCAGCAGCCCCCGTGTCTCTCCAAGCAAGGTGAAGGCATCTAAGTGATTACTGCAGTGTACCACACAGTGACAAAAGTTTGAGCCCACCCAGAGAGAAAAGAAAAATGGAAAGATAAAGCTGCAAGGCTTGAGAAGTTAATTTAGCTGTAGCTATGAGCTCCTGGACTAAAAAAAAAAAAAAAAACTCTGCCAATGCTCTATTTTTGGCCTCCATTTCTGTCCGTTTCTCTGGTAGTCACATGTTCCCTCAGCATGATGGCCATTTCCTCCAAACACACGTCTTCCCATATTTTATACAGTGGAGACTAATGCCGAACACCATTGATTCTGGGATGTTGGTCAATCTCTGATCTGATTTAGTTGGATTTCACTTTATTTTCCCATAATTAAAATAATACAAATGGAAACGTTCTGTGGCCATTGTAAAACCTTAACTGTAAAGTTTTTTTTGTTGTTGTAATTATTAACAGGTTAAAATACTTTTTCACACAAGTCTAAAACCATCTGGCCATCTACCGGTACGCATTATATGAACCGCTTTATCCTCACAAATGCTTCGAGCAGCAGGCGGCGTACACCCTGGACACGTTGCCAGCCAATCACAGAGTCAAAAACATCTTAACCGCAATTGTTTAAATAGTAAAATCAAACTATTTTACAGTAACTTTGAAAACAAGAGACGTTGTAGATTGGCTATATTGTAATGCTTCTGACTTTCTGAAACGTTTGATGTATGTTCTTCACCGTTTCTTAACAGCGCCCTTATCGAGGCTGATCCTGTCGCAAAAAGACGTAGAAGACCAAACAGAATGCAACAAAAGCCCATGTCCTTCACATCAGTGTAGTCATCATTTTGAGTTATTTCTTGGCGGGGTTTTTTTCTGTTGTTTACAAATCAAAAACATCCGATCGTCATTTTCACAGACCATGCCCGAACCACACGAGTGAACTAACTGCACTAACTGCCTGTCCTCCCATGGCTTGCTTTGGAAGAGAGTAAAAGTTGGCTGGACATTCAATATTTGATTTGATATTCCCTCTTAGCGCCTGTGTTAGTGGCCCTCCAATATTACATGTTCTTGGCTTGCATAAAGTAGGTGGACGAATCACCATAAATCAAATAATATTTGTTTATTTGGTTAGTTTTTTCTTTTTAAATGGAGGAGTACCTGGAAATTGTAGACCACTACTTACTACAGCTGATAATCATTTCTCTTATTATAAAGAAATAGAAGACATTTAATTCACAATAATAGTCCTAAATTGACAACAACAACAAAAAAAATCAAATAAAACACCTTTTCTCATTCTGATTGCAGTTGTACTTGGCAATAGAGGCCCACTGATTATTACACCTCAAATTTTCTTCATATGTCATTTTGGAGTAGTATGAGCCTTTTAAAGGACAAACACAGTCATCATAAATTGACAAAAATATTCACCAAAAATCCCTAAAAACACAATTTCTCCTTCCGATTTAAGAAATATCAATGGTTACCCACTTATTACAAAAGCGAATGATCGGCAAGGTATAAACAGAAATCGCTGGTGACCAACAGCCAGGAAAACCAATCGAGAACGAAAAAAGCGCCCGCAACCGGAAAGGAAAAATTGGTACCCAAAAATCCACAAAACGAAATGACAAGAGTCCAAACACACAAACAGAAAACTAGTCAAAAATAACTTGATGAAAAGGATACTTACCAAACCAAAATTTATGGAGGCAAAAGCAACTATGCACAAGAGCATGAGAAAATGGCACTTGGGCATGAACAGCAAACAAGGTAAATAATCCAACAAACACTAGCCATCTTGGAAGTCCTTAAAAACAAGGGAACTTGATTTTGAGATGCGACACAGGAGCACCGCTGAAGGGTCACGCCCAACACTCTAGCTGGTGCTGAAAACAAAAACAAAGCAGAGCAGAACATGACAGGGCCAGACCCATCTAATGCGACCCAGATTCAGACGACTATCGGTCAAACTGAAGAAGCCTGTGGGCTCATATATATATTTTTTAATTTTCATCATCACATTTTTTTTTTTGAGGCCACAAGGAATTCTGACCAAAAAAACCCTTCATGTTGTGTATGGTTCAAAGGTGAAAAACCCTCCAGGTCCCACCCCTTTCCCCATATGGCACCAAGCCCAGGCTGGTCTTTGAATGGGCTCGCTAAATCACAAAGGGCGCCGTCGGTGGCAGGCTACGTTTTATAGCCAGAGCTATAAATCATTGGTTTGGGCTATTGAGTTGAAATAGCCTTGCCTAAGTCCTGCTGACAATGAAAGACGGGTTGGACACCAAGCAGACGGTCCACGAGGGAACTCATTTCAGTCTGATGTACTGGCAGGTGGTGAAAACTCCACTTTAATAGATATGGACGTTCAATATGACTGATGACACCCTGTTGTAAAGATTGACATGCATTTATTTGGCTTTTGCAGGTACTTCCACTGCACCGCAAGGAGGATTGGATGCAGTTGTAACAATGGTCACATTAAGGTGGGGGGCATGGGCCCTCTCTCCTTGCAGTGTTGTGCTGCTCACGTGTGGCCTTGTGTGTCTGTCCCAGCCGCCCTCTATGAAACTTGAAGACTGTGATCGAAAGGAGCATCCAGTCGTGTCCAACCAAGGTGAGGACATCTTGAGAAAAATGAATACGTGTTTTTTTTATTGGGTGTTTTTTTTTTAACCTCTGTTTTTGATGACAATTTGCCAGAAATCCCCCTGCTGCTATTATAAAACTGTTGCAGAAGTGTCTCTTTCAACTCAAATCATTCAGTGACTCATCAATGCCTTCCCTATAACTAAACTTGGTGCAAGAAGCAAGGAAATATGTGCACACCAAACACTATATCAACCCGTCTCATTTTCAAATGAGTACTCAGCAAAGGACTAAATCCAGTGTTACACTCCTACAGATTTTTATCTAAGTCAGTATATGCCACAGTCTATCAGTAACCCACACAAACAAAGAAATCGCATCCGAGCGACAGTGGGTCCCTTCTCATCAGTTGAGAATCACTGGATGAGAGAAACACACAATTTGAGAGCCCTGACTTATCACCATCAAACCTTCAGGATGAACGACAAAACCCAATTCCAAAGAAGTTGGAATGTTGCGTAAAACATAAGTCAAAACAGAATACCATACATTGTTGGCCTACCAGTGTTTGCAATGAAAAGTGAAATAGCCTACCGCTATGGTCGACCGCATGGGATTGTGAAGTATGTTACTATTTCAGCACAAAGTTCGAATTCCTCGATCAAGTGCGTAAGCACAAGCATGTGAACAGAATGAGGTGACGTGAGAAGTGTCCTTTTTTTGCACATTAGTCAACTCATTAGCAAACTCTCGATTTAAGTTATTCTTCTTATTGTTAAAATTATTACTGTTTATCTATAACTGTAGTTTCAAGACGTTGTGTGTATTGGGTAGTAGATGAGGTTTTTTATGGTTTTTATTCCAGAAGCTGGTCCGTCATTTGCTTGTATGCAAGGTCTGAGGCTGTGTTCGCCGAATACGCACAAAATGAATTTCACTTATGAGGACATTGATTCATACTACTTTTGTGTGGAAGACGTACGTACACACAAATTGGTGCGAATGCACGGTTAGCAGAAGAGGCCTGTTGTTCTTAAACTATTGGACTATCTGCTCAGACAGTTGTTCGCAAAGTGGTGAAACTTCTCCCTCTCACCCCTATCCTTGCCTGTGAACATGTGAGCCCTTCGGGGATGCTCCGATTATACCAAATAATGACAACACACGCCTGTTCTTTTGTGGAACATTCCAAACAGTTTTTTTTTTTTTTGTTTTTTTTTTTAACAGCAGTCCTTCAACGTCATTTGCTGCTTTTTGGGTACATGTTACTGCAGCAAATTTAAAATGAGAGAACATTTGAAAAAATACAACAAAAAAAAACCAAATCATTCATCAGGTTGAACATGAAATAACCTGTCTTTGTCATGTATTCAAAAGAATATAGGATGAAAAGGATTTGTAAATCATTGTATCCTGTTTTTATTTACGTTTTGCCCAACATCCCAACTTCATTGGAATTTGGGTTTGTTGATGAGTTAAAATGAGCCACACTCAATTGTCTAACCTCAGTTACTGTTGACCGCCTGACCGAATGGACATCCTAGTCTACAGAAAATAATATAAAATTGTGACGCGAAGGGGACCCAACTACAGTATATTTTCTTTTATGTTATGTGTTCTGTTGTATTATTGCTCTTTTACGTTAAATGTTCCGTAAAGTGCTTGCTTCCAGCTGCAGCTGTTGTGAAAGCGCTATGCAAATATAAATGTGTCGTTGTGTATTGTATTAGTTCCTGTGGTAACATGGCCAGGTTTCCTTCTCCTTTTAACCATTGGCTGTTCCATGTTATCACAGGCCTGAAGACATGGGTGTCGGAGTTCTCACACCCAGGAGTAAAGGACTTCTCTCAGTTGACCGTGGACATGAGCAGGAAGCAGCTTATTGTGGCAGCAAGGTGCAAGTAATTACACGCCAGGCAGAGAAGTAACTGAAAATTGAATGACATTGTTTGTTTTTTACAGAAACTTTCTATTCCGACTTAGTTTGAGCAATGTCTCCTTAATACAGGTACAATCACAGTTTTGTGCTTTGCCAGTGCCACAGTTTGTGTCAAGTTTTAAATGTTCCCAAACCAGTAGGTTTTGTTTTGTTTTTTTTTGCTTCAGGCAACAGAATGGGCACCCGATGAAGACACAATGCGCTCCTGCAAAAGCAAGGGGAAGTCTCAGGTAGATCAATGCAGTGCAGAGCAGTGTCTCTTGAATAAAATGTAATCAATGACACCGTCTCATGTCACGTTTGTATGCAGGAGGAGTGTCAAAACTATATACGGGTGCTATTGCTCAGTGGGAGAACGCTTGTCACGTGTGGGACCAATGCTTTCACTCCTGTTTGTATGAGCAGGCAGGTTGGTGCGATCTTGACGTTTCACCAACCAATGCAAATCCTCCAGACTTCAAAAGCAACATTCATACGCAACGGGTAATGCTTTCCTATTTTCTGTCAGATTGATGACATCAGTCAGGTGTTGGACACAGTGAACGGCGTTGCACGATGCCCCTATGACCCCCGCCACAACTCCACCGCCATGATTTCGGAGACTGGCGAGCTGTACGCTGCCACGGTGATTGACTTCTCTGGACGTGACCCTGTCATCTACAGGAGCCTGGGCAACATGCACCCACTGCGCACGGCCCAGTACAACTCCAAGTGGCTCAATGGTAAACAAAGACGCACATAGTCTGTCAGTCTTCTCTTCATCTTATCCTTTCTGTTTTTATCACTTCACCCCCTTTAGAGCCTCAATTTGTGTCTGCTTATGACATTGGCCGATTCGCGTACTTCTTCTTGAGGGAAACTGCTGTTGAAAACGACTGTGGAAAGATGGTGTTCTCTCGCGTGGCCCGAGTGTGTAAAAACGACATGGGCGGTCGTTTCCTGTTGGAGGACACCTGGACTACCTTCATGAAGGCCCGACTAAACTGCTCACGCTCAGGAGAAATTCCCTTTCATTACAACGAACTACAGAGCACCTTCTACGTACCACAGCAGGACTTGATCTATGGCATTTTCACTACTAATGTGTGAGTGACCCTTAATACTGCTTAAATACTCCACTTCGTAAAGTATTGGCTTTGGTGCCCAAAGACCTGTCCATTCAAACTTCTATTATATTAGCGTCCAAGCACAAACCAGAGTCTTGCTTTTCTCCATTTCACAGTGTAATGATGGCACTGATATTTAGGATGCGCTTGAATTCAGTTGAGATGATTTCCCTATTTTCTGTCATTTTTCTGCCAGCATTACGCACATATTTTTACTTGTTTGTACTCCCCATTTCTTTGCAATTGTGTTTTTCTGTCCCACCTATAACTGTGATAAACCACCCACAGCAACAGCATGTCCGCAACTGCCGTTTGTGCCTTCAACCTGACTGCCATCACGCAAGCTTTCAACGGACCTTTCCGCTACCAGGAGAACCCCCGCACTGCCTGGCTCTCTGCTCCAAATCCCATTCCCAATTTCCAGGTAACCGCACGTGGATGTGTATTCATGTATTCCAGCGGACAGACTTTTCTGATGGACAGCATAAAGTTTTTTTCTTTTTTTCTGTATCGTCAGTGTGGCACGCTGGATGAAGGCGGCACTGGTGGGAACCTGACTGAACGCAACCTCCAGGATGCTCAGCGGCTCTTTCTAATGCATGATGCTGTGCAGCCGGTGACGGTCAATCCTCTGCTCACTCAGAACAACGTACGCTTCTCCAAGCTGGTAGTGGACGTTGTGCAGGGTCGCGATGCCCTTTACCAAGTCATGTACATCGGCACTGGTAAATAAGCTATGACACTGACTTACATTATAATTACTATGAAAGCCGTGACTGTTTTCTCTTGGCCAATCAGAATATGGCACCATCTTGAAGACTCTCGCCACAACAAATACTATTCTTCATGGCTGCTACCTGGAGGAGCTCAGGATCCTTCCTGATGGACAAATCGGGTCAGTCAAGAGCCTGCAGATCCTACAGAGTGACAGATCATTGTTTGTGGGGCTCGATGACATGCTGGTGAAAATCCCATTAGAACGATGCTCCGACCATCCTGCTGAGCGGTACGGAAATGTTTATTCTATAATCCTGCACATTTTGAACACTGATCAACCACCTGTTGTAATTAGAGACTGCCTGGAAGCTCGGGACCCATACTGTGGCTGGGATCACAAACAGCAGCGTTGTACAACCATTGAAGAGAGCACTGACATGAACCATTGGACCCAGAACATCACCCAGTGCCCAGTAAGTCATACTCTCCTTGCTCTCTGCCTCTCTTTCTCTCTCTGACACACGCGCACACACATTTGTTCTTCCTCAGGTGAGGAATCTGAAGCAGGATGGCGGGTTTGGCCCGTGGGCAACATGGAAACCATGCAACCACAATGACGGCGAGGGTTCCATCAGCAGTTGCATCTGCCGGTCCCGTTTATGTGACGGACCTGTGGCCCGATGTGGTGGGGTCGACTGTAAAGGCCCAAACATTCAGGTGGCCAACTGCTCCCGGTAAGCTCAAAGTGCTGTCTGTGGCAACTGATAATATTAGCCAATACGACCAACGGACAATTATTCACAATCCGTCATGAGCACAGAAGTCTGGTAACAGAACACCAGATTGTGGGGCCCGGTCCAGATTTTCAAACCCTGACAGGGATATTGTCAGGTGTGGAAATTATACAATATGTATGTATGCCTGTGCGGTCGATCGCCTGGAAGAGTAATCATGTAGTACTCTTCCAAACCAGTAGGGAGCAGCAGCAGCTTGGAAATTGCCTTATGCTTCGAGACAAGCGAAGTTTCCGACGCGCGAGGCAAGACAATGAAAGGTATCTTTGATTTAGATTTACGTTTACTGGAGATGCAACGGCCCCAATGTTCCCTCTAAGCTGCGCAACTGCGCACTGGTCGCACACTCTCAGCGCACAAGAAAACCTATCCAGCGCAGTGAACGCACTGCAAATGAATTAGATACTGTATATAACTTTTTTTTTCTGTATCAATTTGCTGTGGAATTCAGTGAGTGACAGGTGTCCTGCCAATCACACGATACGATGCAATGGCGCTACGCAGCCAAGCATTGACCGTACATGCGCGAGTTCTCTGCTCCATAACAATAACATTGCGGCGGCGATATGTGGCGCTAATGCTCATCTTTATCATGGCGAAACGACCGGGCAGTGAACGTGATACGTTGACTCCCCAAACCAAAATAAGAATGCGGTTCTTTTAAGTTGGAATGGCTGTCGGAGTATGTGCAAACAGAAGACAAGCAGTGAAACTGGGTGAGATATTTTCTTTTTCGAGTGAGAAAGGTCTGCTCTGCAAAACATGCAGCAAAGCTTAGGCTTTAATTTTCCGAAGGAAAAATGCGGACTAAATGGTAGCTCGACTACCTCAAGCGACACAATCAGCAGAAAAGTCATTTGAATGATGTTAGAATTATACAAAGAATCAAGATGGAAAAAGTGATTGGTACAATCTTGCGGGAGAGCGCAAACGACCGGGAGAAAAAGAACCGGCTGTCACACAGAAAAAAATCCGACCCTGAGCTAGTTAAAGTTATAATTGGGTGTTCACACAGCAACATTTGCTCCGGTGCTGCCCCAGTAGAGCGTTCACACGTGCAAAGTTACACTAGTGTAGCCCCTGAAAACAGCTTAAACTGGAGCAAATCTAACCCTGCTCAAGGAGGTGGTTTAAAAATTTGCTCCGGAGCAAATGCTCGTTTGCGGGGCAGCACCGATGTAAAATGGTACGTGTGAACGCTACAGGGGTAGACTCGCTACGCATGAGAAGAGTTGATTACATACGGCTAGAATGCGTTGCTTTCGTGCTCTGTGGTACTTCCGTCATCTTTCCTTTTGTAGGAGACTGGACTGTCTCGGAGTTGTTTGTGTAGTTTGTTCCTCTGTTGTGTCTTCACAACCCCCTATAAAATTTATTTTGTGATTTCCTCTCTTGATTTTCTGTTTAGCGCATGATGTTTGCTTTTCTGAGTGTCATTGAAGTCATCGTTGATTTACGTTTTCGGGGGGGGCGGTCATTGAACGCCTCTCGAGCAGAAGGCACGGAGACGCAGAAGGACGTGTCTGTAGTTGCTTGAGTTAAACAAATTAATAAAGTGTATGTTTTAAAAAGAACCAACACGACAGCTCTTTGTTTTCTATCGTATTGCACGGCCGCAGAAACTGCTGTGTGAACCCAAGTGGGGCTGCACCGGGGTAAACACGCTTCGCTTTAGTCAGCAGCTTTTTACGTGCAAATGCTCCACAAAATTTGCTCCGGTGTAAGATATATCGCAACAAAATACGTCGGTGCAGCACCGATGTAAATGTGAGCCGTGTGAACACCCCTAGAGTCAAACCCCTCTCGAGAGGACGGGTACCTGAGCCCAGGCTTTGTGTGTAGGCAAGTCCGACTATATCTAAGCAGAACTTCTTTGCCTTGCACACTAGCTCATGCTCCTTTCCTACCAGTGAGGTGAAATTCCATGTCGCTAGAGCTAGTTTTTGTATTCAGGGGTGCCGCCCAGTTCACAGGGCAACTGGCCCCTCCCACAGATGATGAGCCCATGGGAAGTGGGACCCCGTTGTAACTGAGTCCTTTTAAAAGTGGTGGTTAATCTTTGCAGGTATTTAAACACCTGAAATTAGTTGCTTATTGGGTCACTCTCCCCTTCACTGATTGGTCATTTAAATTGGGAACAGGGGTCACCAATCAGGAAAGAGCAGGGGGAGAGCTCCTGCACACATACAAAGATTAACCACAAACACACACCAAAACCCCGCGCCCCAAAAACCCCAGAATGAACAGACACTAAATATCGTGGACCGTAAGTGTGTGTGCGTGCTTATGAGTGCTGACTCCAACAGAAGCAAACAAGTTAGTTTACAGACGGGAGAGGGAAGCAGTGCGAGTAAGTGTTGATGTATGTAAAAGAATTCTGCATTCAAAGCAAGAACTGTTTTAAAAGAAAACAGCATTCAAGCTCAAATATTGAAATAAAATGTTAAAACACGCAGGCCATTCAACAGAATACTCAAATGCAGCAAATTAATACTTAAACCGAAGACATCAACACTGACATAACACTATAATATATTACTGGATCACAATGACACATGTAAAAGTATGTTGATTTTTCATCTGCTGATCAGGAATGGTGGCTGGACGCCCTGGTCTTCATGGGGCCATTGTAGCAGCAGTTGCGGTGTTGGTTTTGAAGTGAGGCAGCGCTCCTGCAACAACCCCTCACCTCGTTACGGAGGTCGAATCTGTGTTGGCCAAGGTCGAGAAGAGAGGTGAGAAGGAATGAGATGGAAAGGGGTTCACAGGGAAATATATTTTATGACGTTAAAAGAGAAAAAATAAACACACATTGCACATGGTGAGCATTAAACACCACTATTAAGGAAGAATTGTGTGTTTTCAGGCTGTGCAGTGAAAAAAAAACATGCCCATTACCAGTGCTGTGGACTGCATGGGGGCCCTGGGCTCAATGCAATGCTGAATGTGGAGGAGGGGTACATGCCAGGACCAGAACCTGTGAGAACGGAAACATCTGTCCTGGATGCGCCACAGTAATGTGTTGCTTGTGCTCAGAATCACTTGATTCTCAGTTTTAATGGAGCATAACAGTGACACAATTGATTCTGCTGTTTAGGAGTATAAGACCTGCAATCTGGAGGCCTGCCCTGAGGTGCGCCGCAATACGCCGTGGACTCTTTGGATGCCAGTCAACGTCAGTCGAGATGGATCACGCCAAGAGCAGAGATACAGATACACGTGCCGAGCATTGCTAAGGGATGTCCGGCAACTTCAGTTAGGAAAGAAGAAAATAGAGAGCAGGTTTTGTCCGAATGATGGTTCTGGAACCTGCCAGACTGACTGTGAGAACATGACACCGTGAGGCATTTATTAGGTGCATTGAGACGGTACTAGGACGCATTAAGAAATTATTTTCTGTATCTTACTTTCAGCTCTGGTTGATGACTTGGTAAAGTCAGGTAGCCGGACTTTGTCACAGCCCAAAGGTACACACTGGGAATCTTGGGAAACATGGTCCACCTGTTCCCAGCAATGTTCCAGAGGTTTTCGAACCCGGAAACGTGGTTGCTCAACAGCAGAGGGCAGGGCCAATCCAAGTGCGTGTGTAGGATCCCCCGTGGATTATCAAGATTGCAACATGCAACCATGCCCAGGTAGAATTCTTTGTTATAGGATATATTGTGCCGGATTTTGTGAATGCATCTTGGTCAATCGATATCTAAAAAAAATGGGTGCGTGTGGGTGGATGAGGTCTGTAACACCTGTAGAAAACCGACAAGCACAGGGAGAAAATGCAATCCCCACACAGAAAGAAAAACGTATTGAGTGTTCAGAATAGCAAACTGGGGGCCTTTTGAATGTATGGTCAACTCAACTCTGCCACCATGCATGGCTGCTTTTGTTGTAGTGGGTGGAGCCTGGTCATGTTGGTCTTCATGGTCCCAGTGTACTGTGAGCTGTGGGGGTGGCCATTTTCTGCGGACAAGGTCATGTGACAATCCACCTCCTGCCAATGGAGGTGGGATCTGTATTGGTCTTCACACTGAAGAGGCACTTTGCAATACACACACTTGTGAAGGTACGTCATTCATCGAGCCAGTTCTGTGTGATTGCCCAAATTATTTATACCGATAAATGCCACGCAAAGTGAGTAGATTAAGTCTAATTCATTCATTTTGATGTAAAGGGTGAACCATAAATATGTTGTTACGCACCTGACTTCATTTCAATCAGCGTGAGTTCTGTTTTCCCTCAATGACAGAGTGATGCGAGTTTGAGATGCTGTTTGTCTCCATGTGCCCTGTTTCACTGACGACCAGTCCAAGTCGTCCCCTACCCATTGCACAAAGTCAGCTGAGATTGACTTCAGATCCCCCAACCCTGAACAGGATAAACAGTGTAGAGGATGGAGGGATTGGATAGACTGGTGTTTTTATATTCACTGTTCAGAAATCTCTACAATGTAGTAAGCGAATTCTGGGGGGTTGATTGACTTTCTTATTTGCAGCATGCCACAATAAATCCGCGGCCTGGTGGTCAAGTGGTTAGCGTGTCGACTTCACAGTGCAGAGGTACCGGGTTCAATTCCAGCTGCGGCCTCCCTGTGTGGAGTTTGCATGTTCTCCCCGTGCCTGCGTGGGTTTTCTCCGGGTACTCCGGTTTCCTTCCACATTCCAAAAACATGCATGGCAGGCTGATTGAACACTCTGAATTGTCCGTAGGTGTGGGTGTGACCGTGGATGGTTGTTTGTCTCTGTGTGCTCTGCGATTGGCTGGCAACCGGTTCAGGGTGTCCCCCGCTTACTGCCCGAAGATGGCTGGGATAGGCTCCAGCAGCCCCCGCGACCCTTGTGAGGATAAGCGGATCGGAAAATGGATGGATGGATGGATGCAATAAATCCGCCCACATGTAGTCCAGGATGTCAGTTGGGATCGACTAGAACCGGGGCGGCCAACCCGCGGCTCGCGAGCCTCGTGCGTCTCTTTGGCTGGTTCAATGCGGCTCCTGGGCTTTCACACGACAAGCGTCGAAAACGCCTCGGCAGTGGCGATGCCATTCAAACGAAGGCGCTAACTACACAGAACGTACTACGTCAGCCTACCATCAATCCTGTTACTTGATTGACATAGAAGGCAACCAATCAGATGACTGCATCACGGCTCATGCGCAAACAATGGCGCTAAGCGCTAAGCTAGTCAGCGATTTACCTCTGATTTTAAGGCAGGGGTGCCCAATACGTCGATCAGAATCGACCGGGATCTAGCGAACTGGTCCCAAGTCGACCGCAAGGGCTGGGAGGAGGAAGTGGGTGGGGAAAAAAAAGATTTGTTTGTTTGCATCTTGAGCTTTCTTTCATTTTCGGCCGTTCCGACTGTTGCTCATCGTGGTGTGCGTGCATATGTGCGCGAGTGCACTGGTGGGCACCCGCGCGAGTGCATGCCTGTGTGTGCGTGTGTGTGTGTGTGTGTGTGTGTGTGGTGGCACGTGCACGATCGGGTCGTTCGTGGGAAGTTGGTCGCTTCAAAAGTTGATCTCTTCGGCCAAAAAAAGTGTGTGTGTGTGTGTGTGTGTGTGTGTGTGTGTGTGTGTGTGTGTGTGTGTGTGTGTGCGCGCGTGCGCGTGAGGAAGGGTATAATGTGGCTCTTTGCAGCAACACAGTAAAAACATTGGCTCTTCGTCTCTGACTGGTTGGCCACCCCTGGACTAGAAGGCCATGTGATGACAGTGAACAGGTTCATGGATGGATTGTGATTATTTCCCCCCTACTGGTCATCAGGTTGGGGTGTGTGGTCAGACTGGGGGGACTGTGATGAGAAGAGCCTCCAGTATCGCTCTCGCTCCTGCGCTGAAAACCAGGAAGCTACTTTGTGCCAGGGTAACATTAGCCAGGCCAGACCATGCCAGACACACGAGGTGGCAGGTAAACACCACACAATGATTTTTCTGTCAGATGGTCTCAATGCCTTCCATGGTAATAAATAAATCAATAAAAGTTACATATTAATGACAGAACGGAACATTAAATAGTCACTGATCTTTTGTTTTTGTGTGTTTTTTTCTGCACTGTTGTCGGGCCAACACAATCCAGTGCCTGCTGCTGGTCAGTCTCTGATTTGTTAGAATTTGGAAACATAATCTCCGAAACCAAATAACGAGAGTAGAAATAATCCACCGCAGGGTCAAATTATTGCCATTCTAAGTGCTTTTCCAGACAATTTCAAAATAAAATTTTAACATTTGCAATAACTGGCTGGCGACCAGTCCCACCTCTCACCCAAAGTCACTTTGGATACGGACAAGCACACTCACAATCAAAACGAGGAAAAGCCGAGCACTACAGAAAATGGATGGCCAGATGTATTTTAAAATTTGTGTCTGTCATGAAAGTGAAAAAAAAAACAAAAGTGACCCTCTAAAAATATACATTATAATTTGTCTGACCCATTTCAATTTCCATTTGTGCCGTTTTAGTAATTTTGCCTGAACAGGAGGACCACAGCTGTGGAAGTAAGTTTTTCGGGTTATCTTTCAAATTTGTGCACATAGTAATTCTCATGAGCTCACCGCCCATCTTGTCTTTGACAGCTTTCACGTTGTTCCAGCTGGTCTCCGTGGGCGTGGCCAGTTTTTTTGCAGCTTCCCTCTTGTCGGCGCTGGTCGGCGCCTACTGTCACCATCTAGGCCGGCCACCCGCAGAGTCAGCGGTCATCCACCCCAGCACGCACAACCACCTCACATACAACAAGCATGACAACGCCACGCCAAAGAATGAGAAGTACATTCCCATGGAAGTTGTGGTGGGTCATGGTCAAATCTGTTCAGTTCCACAATCTTCCACTTGTTTGTTGATATTTTGGTAACTCAGACTGAACCCAACCCTGCAGATGCTACACAAGAACAATCTTCACGTAAATGACGACACTAGCCGCCACTTCCCTTCCAGCAACATGTTCACGACCACCTACTACCCGCCCAACATGAGCAAGTATGACTTTCCTTCAGAAGCACCTTGCAGGGCTTACGTGCACAGCTAACATCTCAAACCGAATCACCAAAATCCTCCAGGTGATTGTGGACGCTAAAATACCCAAATGACCTTATATCATTCTATGGGATACTTTGCCAACATCTCAACCAAGAATTGCAATTTTGTTTGGCAACTAAGAGATCAAACAAAGTGAAAAGAAGAAAACCGCTAAGGATTCACTAAGCATGCCCATATTACTAATATTACTATTTTATTATTATTTCATTTCTGAAAAGAAGAAAATGAAAGACATAACTTCACGGACAGGATGGAATGCTGGTCCGTCTTGGACTTTTGCTACTTGCAGAGAAGAGAATTATGAATGAAAACAGAAAAAAACATGTTGTAAAGCACACTTGTACGTGCAGAGAAAACACAAGAACTGAGACCTACAGAGCTCACTTTTCACAAAGTCAACTAGCAGGAAACAACACAAAATACAACAAATGAATGATTTGCTCAGGGAAAGTGTAGCTCTTGGTTTTTCACCCACCAGAAGACTTTCCTGGAGAAATCCTGCTTACTGGAATGTTTGACTGAAGAGACGTAAATAGCACATCATTTTTGTTTTTATTACATAGTCTCAATGCTTTTGGAACACTTAAATATATTTTAGTATCATGTACTGCTCCAGAGACATGAACCTGTTCTTTGGTAGGACAGTTTGAGGGAGGTTAACATGTTTGTCTCACAACCAGAAGCTTTTAAATCTTGCGCTTTATACATTTCACGTCCCTGTACTTCCTCTGTCCATGTTGTGTCTATATGTCAGTGATGTGACTGACAGGTAATCAGTCCTGGGTGTACCTTACTTCTCATCCTAAATCATCTCAAATTGGCTCGTTTCCCTGTGAGCAGGATACATGTTGTCATCAATGGATGGATGGATCGGTGGGCGATCATGTGACATTAAGTTACACTGTAGAGCCATAATCCTAAATTTTAGTTCTGTGTGTGTGTGTGTGTGTGCGTGTGTGTGTGTGTGTGTGTGTGTGTGTGTGTGTGTGTGTGTGTGTGTGTGTGTGTGTGTGTGCGTGTGTGTCCGCTTGATGTTAAAGTTGTTCCAACCAAGCAAGGTAGCACAAGCTAAGCTAAGGTATGTAGCGGTTCACCCGATTGGTTAATTCCTGGTGACTGATTAGGAGATTGTCGGAAGCAAACACAAGACATGTTTCTGGACATACAGTAGTGATTTTTATTTGTCATGATTCTGTTTGTGACCAACAGGTGGCACTGTAGGGCTCCCCCTGCAGTTGCACACCTATTGGTCGTTATGTTATTAGTAGTATAAAAGGACTCCCTCCCGACCACTCATGGTTGGGTCATTGTTTGTTTGTTTGCTACTGTCAGGCTTGTTTCAGTCATGTTTCGGTTACTGTTATGTTTTAGCTTCAGTCATGATTTTTGTTTGATACTTTGAACTTTGTTTGTTTTGGATTTAGTTTTCTCTGTTTTAATACAATTTGTCAAGTACACCCTGCTCCTCCCTCTTGCCTGCTTTTGGGGTCCACCACCACCTGCACGTGACATTATTTACGAACTGACTGATTCATTCAGTCTGATAGAATGCCCACCTCTGATGATAAGGCATTTATTTTGACAACAGATTTTATCCAAAAGGTTTTGATGATTACATGAATGCATTTAGAATTGAGGAGGATTTGTTCACGGTTATTGTTGCGTCTGACCTGATTATTATTGGCCTGATTGGCAGTTTTCAAATGAAAATGATGAAAGAACATACATTGTGCTTACTGCAGTTTTATATGAGCTGTCTGAAATGCATTTAATAAAAAGTGTTTCGAATTGAAATATTGTAATGTGTTTCATTTAAGGTAATGAGCTATGGGATATTTAATAATATGCATGGTTTTGAAGCACAAAAATTCCAAATTGTCAATCTCTGAATTTTTAGGCAGTCAGCCTAATCGGTGCTGTTCAGGGTGCTACAGATGACGGACGGACAGAAAGATAGAAAGTCAGGTGAAACAATTTGTTTGCATGAGGTAAGCTGTTTTCGAACTGTCACTGAAGGCAGCACGACATTAAAATACAGTACAGGACTTTATTCAGACCGTGAGGAAAAGTAGATTTGCTTGCTCCAAAAGGTTGCTGCCATCACTAGTGCAAAGAAATCTCATGTTTATTCTCCGAGCTAAGTTTAGCCATTTTTATTATTGATATGGTTTTAAAGAGTAAATTGGTTGGTGATTTGTGACGCAAGGTTAAGAGCAGCAAGTGAGTTTGCGCAACCGCAGGACTTTGACAGCTCACACTTGTCATTGTAGATGTTTAAAATCAATCAGTCCTTCAATGTCATCGTGCCAAATAGTGAACAGTGGTCATCACTTCCTCCTTTCACTCCATGTTGCTTTTAAATGTGTCGCGTATGGACACGACGTAGCCTCCCTCCCGCCTCTTGACTGTAAACTTTGAGCGAGACGTATAAAGGAAGTGTATGCTCTTATTGCGCGCAAATGAACAACCCTGCTTTGTCTGCATTGAAAATGTATCATCTTAAAAAATAATCTTGTTTTTAAGAAATAGACCGTTAATATGATATGTTTTTCTATAACCCTAACGAAATAAAATTACGTTTTTTTGTATCCTGTATACGTAACTTCGGTGGATGTATTCCATTACTTCCCAAGCCTGAAAATACCGAATGGAAATGATGCAATAAAATTGCTTGATATTTAAAAATATTGTCATGTCTGCCAAATGTTAAAAACAATGTTTTGTTTTTTTACTTGTGCAAGTCCGACTTGATATACAGTATCTCAACATGAGTATGGAAAAGTGTGTACATTACGTTTTTGTGCAGACGCAGCCTCTGTAGATGAGGCCCCTTTGTCTTCTAAAAGCATGGCGACTTCATTCTCTAATACTCCCACCTACTGGACGTCATTTACACTACATTTGGACAATGAAAACCACCCAATAGTTTGTAAATCGTCCCTTCTTTGGCAGGCATCTATCAGGTCATCTTTATTTATCCACCACCAATTCACAGCGGATGCAATCTCAGTGTACTTCACAGATTTTACTCCATCTGACATGAAGAAATCAACAGAAGGCCACATCAGCAAGCAGTGTGGCAACAGACGTAAGGTGAAAGGAAGACATCCCCAACTGACTGGGCAGGTGGGGTATGGATTAAAAGAGAGAGAGAGAATAACAAAGAACAAAACAACCAAAAACTTGCTGATCGTATGGATAAGGGCACATTTGCAGGGGTAAAGGGAAGTGAGCCTGGTGTGCACTCAAAAAAAAAAAAAAAAAGTCGTGATATCACAGGACGTGACAAGGCTTTGAAGCGTGCATCATGGAATGAAGGGGGCATTTCCACAATACCTGTATCGAGGCTTGCTTCATTTAAGGGAGGATCTGAAAATGATGACATTCAAAGCTTCACTGGCTGGTTACCACGTGACCAATTTGGGAATTGCATGAGACTGTTTTTTTTCTCAAATGTTCAATACAAACATAAAGGAACAAAAACATCCAACTTATCGATGTACAATAACAGGTGACAGTGGGTCAAAAATGCTTTCATACATTTCTGTCTTGATAGATTTTAGGGTTTTTAAATACTCGGAAAGAATTGACCAAAAAGGTTTACGAACAAAAATAGGTAGCAAGACCAACAAAGTTCAACAAAGAATGCTGGTACAACATCAGTAAAACGAGACAATCAAAAACGCTTGTAACAAAGGCAAGAATAGAAACAAACGGAAATTGCTTGCCAATAAACTGACAAGAGGAAACTCAAGCGTGTATAGTAATATACGATAATATGACGACAACTACAACGAAAAACTACTGACAAAGGTAAGTGCAGAAAACCTGGCAGGCAGAAAAATGAAGAGCAAGAACATAGGACATCCCGAAGAATTTAACACTTGGTGACACTCGTGATGGGACATGGGAGACCTTATATAGACGGCAGATTACATTGGCAGTAGGTGTGCAAGCTGGAGGGACGGCCACATGCTGGAGAAATACAGGAACAGGATCATGACAGTAGCCTATTTTAGTTCATAGGATGATGTCCACATATGTTTTTCAAATCGATAATAATTGTTGGCCAGTGACCATTTTCATCTTTATATTCCAGGAAAAGTCAAGTCCATTGATTTCTTTGCAGTAGGAACACCGAAACCCACACATTCAGATGATGATGACAAGTACACAGATTTGCTTGGCACAACTCAGTTACATGCGATGAGGTCTCAGTGAGAATTGAACTCACGACCGCTGGTTTACGAGACCAGTGCTCTAACCACTGAGATATAAGATAAGATAAGATATGATAACCTTTATTTGTCCGAAACTGGTGAAAATGGGGGAATATGAGGCCTTGCATGCTAGCTGGACATGAGCATTTTGTTAACGTGCCACCAAAATCAGAGCCTCAAAAACAGTCGGGTCCTCAGCAGATTTGTCCGGGAAAAGCCAAGTCCATGTTTTGTTAGCAAAAGCACAAGGTCTTCAGCAGACTTGTCCAGGAAAGCCAAGTCCGTTGCTTGACTTGCAGTCGAAAGTAATGTACATCTTTGAGGAATACTGACAAGGACACAGATTTCCTTGATACGGACGACAGGAACTCATGCAATGAGGCCTCAGTGAGAATTGAACTCACGACCCCTGGTTTACTAAACCAGTGCTCTAACCACTGAGCTATGAGGCCTTGCATCCTAGCTGTCCATTAGCATTTTGAAACGTGCAGCCAAAATCAAAGTCAAAAATAGTCGGGTCCTCAGCAGATTTGTCCAGGAAAAGCCAAGTCCATTGCTTGACTTGCAGTTGAAAAATGAAGAGAAGTGATGTTCCCCACATTTGAAGGATACTGACAAGTACAGAGATGACAGGAACTCAGTTACATGCGATGAGGCCTCAGTGAGAATTGAACTCACGACCCCTGGTTTACTAGACCAGTGCTCTAACCACTGAGCTATGCGGCCTTGGCCGCTAGCTGGCCGTTAGCATTTTGTTAACGAGCTACCGAAATCAGAGCCTCAAAAACAGTCGGGTCCTCAGCAGATTTGTCCCAGAAAAGTCAAGTCCATTGCTTGACTTGCAGTCGGAAGTGATGTTCACATTTGAGTAATACTGACCAATATACAGAATTGCTTGACACAGACGACAGGAACTCAATTACATGTGATGAGGCCTCAGTGAGGATTGAACATTCAACCCCTGGTTTACTAGACCAGTGCTCTAACCACTGAGCTATGAGGCCTTGCACACTCACTGGCCGTTAGCATTTTTGTTAACGTGCTACCAAAATCAGAGCCTCAAAAATTATCGGGTCCTCAGCAGATTTATCCGGGAAAAGCAGAGTCCATTGCTTGACCTGCAGTAGAAAGTTGAAGAGAAAGTGATGTTCTCCACGTTTGAAGGATACTGACAAGTCCATAGACTTGCTGGACACACATGACAGTTACTCAGTATATGCGATGAGGCCCCAGTGAGAACAGAAGTCACTGCCCCTGGTTTCAAGACCAGTGCCCGAACCACTGAGGTATCAGGCCTTGGATGGTAGCTGCCTGTCAGCATTTTTGTTAACTTGCTCCCAAAATCACAACCTCAAAATAGGTTCCTCAGCAGATTTTTCCGGGAAAATCCATGTCCATGTTTTGTTAGCAAATGCACAAGGTCCTCAGCAGATTTGTCCAGGAAAGCCAAGTCCATTGCTTGACTTGGAGTAGAAAGTGATATACATATTTGAGGAATACTGACAAGGACACAGATTTGCTTGATACGGACGACAGGAACTCAGTTACATGCGATGAGGCCTCAGTGAGAATTGAACTCACGACCCCTGGTTTACTAAACCAGTGCTCTAACCACTGAGCTATGAGGCCTTGCATGCTAGCTGTCCGTTAGCATTTTGATAACGTGCAGCCAAAATCAAAGCCTCAGAAATTGTCGGGTCCTCAGCAGATTTGTCCGGGAAAAGCCAAGTCCATTCATTGCTTGACCTGCAGTCGAAAAGAAAGTGATGTTCTCCATATTTGAAGGATACTGACAAGTACACAGATGACAGGAACTCAGTTACATGCGATGAGGCCTCAGTGAGAATTGAACTCACAACCCCTGGTTTACTAAACCAGCTCTCTAACCACTGAGCTATGAGGCCTTGCATGCTAGCTGTCCGT